GCTAAAATAACCTCTTGCCAAACGAGGCCTAAATATAGATATAAAATATTTGCGATTATTTTGATAAAAAAGTTTCCTTCCTATATTATTGTTGCAGATTATTTATTTTGATGCTACTTATGCTTTTGTCAAATAAAATGTTTAGGGAGATTTATTAAAAAAAAAAATTTTCAAGTGTTTGTATCTCAATTAGTTCATAAGATATTCTTGTATTTCAATAAGTCTTATTATTTGAACATTTGATCTACCAAATCTTAATTATCATATTTAAAGTATTTTATAAATATTTCTACCCTTACAAATAATTTTTGAACGGTTAGCAATTTAGTGATGTGAATATTTATATTTTATAATGTGAATATTCACATTGACAGTGTGAATATTCACATTAACATGTTAACATTCACATTGATGGTGTGAACATTCACATTGACGATATCAACATTTACATTAACGGTATAAACATTCATATCACGGAACATTCACACTGTAAATGTGAATATTATTAGAGATATTTTGATAACTATGTCATTCATAGGACTTATTGGAATATAAGAAAATTATGCGGATTAAATGAAACATAAGTAAGCGAAAAATGATTTACAAAAAAGTGTCCCAAATGTTTATAGGACCCAATTTTTTTTTAAAAAAAAATTAACCAGCATAGTTGTAAAAAGAAAATACTAAGCTCATATTTAATTCAGACCTATCCCAAGTCCGATTTATTAGCCCTGTTTGGTAGAACTGTGGCAAAGTACTTATAGCTTATGCCTAAACAGCTTATAGCTTATAACTATGAACATATTATAAGCTGATTTCTGACTTATAAATTAAGCATCTCCTGCCCCACTCAAAGAATAAGCTGATTTCTGACTTTCAAAAAGCTATAAGCTAAACCAAACACATCAAAATAGCTTAAATTAAGCTGAAAATTTAAATAAGCTGCTTTTAGGTTCTGCCAAATAGGCACATTGAGCTGGGACCAGGTTTGGGCAGAAAAATTCAGATTGAAAGTTAGGTAATCAAATAGGGCTGGAGTAACCATTACACCCAATCAAATTCACCCAAGTTGCATCCCTAAAAGAGAGGATTATTGAATTTAGATTATGTTTGAATTATGAATTTATAAATATATATATATATATAAAAATAATCGAGATACACCAAAAAAGAAAGCAAATAAAACGAAAGACGCTAAATTCAAAGGATGCTGATTTACAGTTTTATTGTTTGGTATAATAAAAAATAAGTCAATAGAAAATGTTTTATATGGTTATTGAAAACTGAGCAATGAGACTGAAGAGGGTCAAATTGCTTGAGCTGATGCAGCAGGCATTGCTGAAGGGATTGGCCCATTACTTAAATGACCAGAGGAGAAGGGGGCATTCTATTTGAACCCAAAAAATATCCAAATTTAGATTTATAAATTTTAATTCTTATTATATTCTAATATGAATTTACTACTAAGGATAATCTATATTAAACCCTAAAATAAAATATTTTTTTTCTCATTGTACACCCCAGTCCATTATTCCAATTCAAATCTCTACATCTTCTTTTTCAAGAGATCAAAATTAGTTTGTCTTCTTCTTCTTTCACACTCCAAAACTCCAATCCACCTTACCAAAACTCACAATTATTATTAACATCATTATTTTTTATTATTTTGAAATCATAAACCCTAGAAGAAAGTTTGAACAATCAAACAATGGAGGAAAGTGATAATCAAGATAATATTTTGAAGCAATCCATCAAAGAGGAGATAAGCATTCATATAAAAATCAAAATATTTTCTTGATTATCACTTTCCTCCATTGTTTGATTGTTTAAACTTTCGTCTAGGGTTTAGGGTTTTAAAATAATAATAAAAATAATGATATTAATGATAATGGTGAGTTTCGGTAAGGTGGATTGGAGTTTTGGAGTAAGGAAGAAGAAGAAGAAGAAGAAGACAAACTAACTTTGATCTATTGGGGAAGAAGATGTAGAGATTTAAATAGAAATAATAGATTAGGGTGTACCACGAGGAAAAAAAGAAATTATTTTAGGGTTTAATATGGATTGTCCTTATTAACAAATTCACATTAATATATAATACGAATTAAAATTTATAAATTTAAATTGGACGTACTAAGATATTTTTTGGATTCAAATAGAATGCCCCGAGGAGAAGGCCATGGCCCTAATGGCGAGATTCAACCGAGCAGGGAGAAAGGCCCTGGCCCAAATGATGATGTTAGATCAGACTGGAAGGAAGGCCTTGGCCTGGATGATAACGCCCACCCAAGCAGGAAGGTAAGCCATTGTCGAAACAGCAACATCAACTAAGGAAAGAGGAAAGCCATGGCCCAAATGATGACACTTGCCTGGGTAGGAAGTTAGGCCTTGGCCCGGATGGCGACGCTTGCCCGTTGCAGGGAATAGGGCCGGCCCTGAGAATTCAGGGCCCTAGGCGAGCTTCTAAGTTTGGGCCCTTCCCTTGTACATACGCCTAAAAAAATATATATATATTTGCTAGTGGCCACTCAAGTTTGCTTGAGTAAATTTGGGCCCTTTGTTTGTTTTTTCAACTAGACTAATTTTTTTATTTGTTTTTAATATAGGCCTGCAACATGTTTTTATTTGGGCATTTTATAGTGGGTTGTTTTATTTTGGAGGGCTTCTATTTTAGTGGGTTGTTCTGTTTTTGAGGGCTTCTAACAATAATTGGACTTTATTTAAAACTTGATAGTATAATGGATCTTCAAAATTTGGGGCCCTATTTTGGGCCAAATTTTGGGGGCCCTAGTGTCACGTACCGACTCATTAGGGATGCGAGTTCTACACCAAGCACCTTGCAAGCGCATTAGTCTGTGAGCAGCAAGGCAGACAAGGTAGATCCCTATCGCATCTCCTGGGTTGGTCCTTGGGCATAATACACGGGGGTATGCAGTACCACTCGTGGAGCCGGCTTCTCGGGAGGATGACAAGCGACCAGTCCGTGATAAGTGGTATCAGAGCCAGCCTAGGGGCACTGTGATGGGGACGGTACGTGAGACTTACACCAAGCACCCTCATTGTGGGGTCCGCACCAAGAATGGTGTCCGCGCGGGGCGGGTTTCCCGTGGGTAAGGGAACGGACAAGCATGGGGGCATGCAGGGTAATGTCCCCCTGACGAGGGCGTCAGGGACTGGCAGTGGTAGCATGTCACGTACCGACTCATAAGGGATACGAGTTCTACACCAAGCACCTTGCAAGCGCATTAGTTTGTGAGCTACAAGGCAGGCAGGGTAAATCTCTATCGCATCTCCTGGGTTGGTCCTTGGGCATAATGCACGGGGGTACGCAGTACCACTCGTGGAGCCGGCTTCTCGAGAGGATGACAAGCGCCCAGTCCGTGACACTAGGCACAGGCCTTACTCGCCTTAGCCCAGGGCCGGCCTTGGCTCGGAGGGATGAGCAGCAACCGATCCAGAGACATAATCAGGGACAACACCAGAAGAGATTGGCCAGTCAAGTAAATTAAGGGTTGGTTTGGGAAGTGGGTTAGCTTTTTGACTTTTTGATTTTTTTGGCTATTTTAGCCTGGGCTAAAAATCTTTGTTTGAGAAGGACTTTTTTACTTTTTTGACTTTTTTTGTGAGAGAAAAGTATAATGATTATGGGTTAGATGTGATGTTTTGTTGGTTGCAACTAAAATAGCCTATTTTATCTTTTGTGATAAAAATAGCCAAAAAAACCTACAAACCTGCTTTCCAAACGGTGCCTAAAAGCCTAACCGAGCAGGTCATCAATTGTTGGTATGACATCAGTACAGGTAGTCGCTAATAGTACAATCAGGAGAGACGATCGGGTCGAATATTCCTTATAATGTAAAGGGTATCATTCCTAGAAAAATCTGGTTGATCGAAAGGTAGGGCACATGGGGTACTACCCTCACTCATGTCAAAATCGTAACTAGGGAGAAAAGTTAGGACACCTATAACGAGAGAACACAACCGATAATTACCCAAAAAAAAAGAACACAACTGATGGAAGGATAACTCACTCTACAACTGAGCACTAAAGCCCTAAATCCTTTCCTTTGTGTCTTCTTTCATAAGGACTTTCCAGCTACATCCCAGCCAACAGTAAGAGCCAACAGTAAGAGCTCTGGTATTGTTCAATTCAAGTGAAAGGCAACCCTGTACAGAGGCGAACTAGAGTTTTACTGATACAATCATCATTCTCACCACTACCACAACTACCGCCACAACTATCACAACCGCCAACCCCATTGTTTTCGATGTTAAACCAAACACAGTAACATTCAAACCAAACACAATAACATTCAGTGTTTGATTTAAGCTTTTTTATTTTCGTATTTTTTTGTTTTGAGTAAATTAATTTAAAATTTTAAATATTTTTTTTTATTTTTTTAAATGCACCTTACTTAGATGTATCTAAAAAATAAAAATTTATGAAAAAAACATTTTAAAAAATTAATAAATACATAAAAATACAAAAAAAAAATTACTAAATTCTTGGATTTTTTTTTTTTTTTTATTTTTATTGCATTTTTGGTATTTAGTGAATTTTTAAAAAATTTTCTTCACAAACTTTTTACTTTTTAAGTATATTTATGTTAGATATATCTAAAAAGTAAAAAAGACTTCTTAAAATATTAAAAAGATTCAATTAAAAAAAAAAACACAGAAAACAAAAAAGTAAAATTTTCTGAAAAGTTATTTTAGAAAAATGACACCAAGCAAAGTGATTTATTTTGCAAAAAGTGTGTTCCCAAACATATTCTTTTACAAAAAAAAAAAAAACTCTCCCAAAAATGGTTTTTGTCGAAACCAGAAGGCAATTGAAAGAACATTTTGAAAAGTTCTGGTAATTTATGGTGCACATAAATTCAGGTTTCTATTTGCTCCGCAGAGTGAGCCAACCTCCTTCAAAAGCATCTCTTTTTTTAATGATATTATGAGAAGAAAAAAACATCCCTACACAAAAATTATGTAAACCAATGGCACTACGATTTAATTGCAGAAGCTACAAAATCCAAATTAAACTCGAGAGAGGCTACCTTTGGATCACTTTACCATACAACCTGATCTATCCCCCAAATAATACAGATGGGAAAAGAGCAGATCCTAAATCTATTAAACCATTTAACCAAAGAGGGTATTTTAGTCATTTTGTGCAGATACGGTTATCCTGTGATAAGTTATCCCAACATTTACAGGATAAAAGAACCCCGGATAAATTATCCCAAGTCACAAAAGTCTAACCAAATATGGGATTCTGCCCCTTATTCGTGAATCCAATGTAACATATGGCCATCAAGTCAAAACTTCTTTATTGGTAATGTGGCATTAGCTGTCTCATCTCCAAATTAAGTCAACTTGGCCATTTGAATGCTATATGTAACACAGTCAACTGGTTCAATCATCATATAAGGTCCAAGAAGAATCCCTAAAATAAAGGTGAAACCGATAATGAATGTGAATTTCATTTGGTTTCCTATTAAGTTCTCTGTACAATTGGCAAAGGTAATGCAACAGACATAATTCATAAAATTAAAAAGTTTACCCTCAGATTTCAACACAATCATCATCATCGTCATCCTCATTTTCCCAGTCCAGCATAATAGAGTTTGCTGACTTAATCAGCTCGGTTAGTCCAGTAAGATCCTCCAGATAGGTTGGATGATTAATGGCTTCAAGGACAAAATCCAACCCTCTTTCTCGATATTCTGATACCACCTGAACCGTATGAAATTCATAAATATAATGAAAAAATTACGAAAAAAAATGTGGAACAAGAAGAAAATTGCTACACACTTACAGTGCAGCAACAAGCAGTACAACTATTTGAGGAGTGTCCAACAAGTGTCATCTGAGAAAACTGTGAGAGCGATCCTCGAACTTGATGCGGTAAAATGCCAAGAGGTTGCTCAGTGCTTCCACTGTCAGTAGAGTTTGCAAACTCTGCCTTGGCATGTATCCTGTTGTGGTACAATAATGAGAATGAGGACCAGAATTGAGAAGGAAACCTACATTAAATGGGTTATTTTCGCTTTTATCCCCTACACTGTTATCTTTTTTTCTATTTCATCCCTAACCTAGTCATCAAAGTTTCTGATTTCAGATCATGTGAACCTAATTTGACGGTTGAAACGAAAATATAATATCAAAATTTGAACAATTTAACCATACAAGTTGGTTGTGGGGTGTAGTTTGTTCAAAATAATAAGAAAAATGGGGAACTAACATTGAGGGAAGGTAGCATCAGTGTTTGGTTGTATGTTTCAAGCTGTTCTAATTTCGAAATGACTTTTTTACCAATCAAATCAAGTTTTAACAGTTGGTGACGTGAGCAATCATTACCAATTGGACCACTTGAACTGAAATTAGAAACTTCATAGATGAAATTAATATTTTAAGGATGAAATAGAAAAAATAGTGATAGTTTAGGGCATAAAAGTGAAATTAATCAAAATTAAATTTTCTCAACTAAAAATCAGCAAATAACTGAGCTTCGTTAACATAATTTTCAAGGAGTTACCCATGAGGGTGATGTAGAATCCCCACTAAAAGTTCAACAGCAAGGGCTGAAGCAATAGGAGCAAGCCCCGGACGAGTAACTGTGCATTGTTGGTCCAAAGTGCGGTTGGCAGTTGACTGCACATAGAATGAATAGTCAGTGATTAACATATTTTCAGCAACTTTGAAATTATGGTTTCCGTTTAGAAAATTACATCAACTGGGGCAACCACGTCATTGCAAAAGTAACAACCCAATCTGTGCTCTCCATTTCTATCCATCTGGTAGACGTTTCCCATTTCACCAGATACATCATCTTTGAAGTCACGAAGAGTGCCAAGAGGACCAGCACCATGCCGCATAACCAAGAAGCTATCGAACCCTAAAGCTGCAGTTATAGTGATCTGGAGATATAATACATCAGTGAATATAAGAACCAATCAATCAACAGTGTCCATGCAAACTATTTGGAATTGGCTCTTTTAGTTAGGCTTATTTGTCTCCAGTGAACTTTTTTAAAAATTATGTCAAATTTCTCTACTTTTTAGATCCATCTTGACTAGGTGGTCATAAAAACTTTAAATATATATATATATATATCTGAATTTTCTTTGAATAAAGTTCAGAAAAGAAAAAAATAAACCAATTTTTTTGGGAGCTTTTTGGATAAAAAAAAATTGGCTTATTTTTGTCTTTGGTCAACTTTTTTTCAAAATTGACTCAAAATGTTTTTAATTCTTAGAATGAGTTGAAAAAAGTTCACCTTTTAGCTTTAGGCAAATGAATAACAGCAAGATCAGGAAATCTGAAGGAAAGTTCACAAGAAAAATGCAATTTTATAAATAAACAAAAGGATAACAACCTTGTTAGCATTAGCACAAAGAAGAGTAGGGAGCCATCGACTTTCCCTTGTATCAGTCAACAAGAAAACAACATCATGAGAATCAATTAAATCGTGTAGGCATCTGCAATCCTCAAGCACACTATTCACTTCATGGCTAGGCACCGGATGGCCAGGCATTGGAATAGCCATCACAACACCTTCAGCTTCCTGAGAATAAAACCAACACAAACAGGTATATGGAAATCAAACTTTTTGGGTTGAATTAGGCGGATGTAGCTACGTAAAGGGTAATATTAATTACCACAGCCGGAAAGATTCTCTTGAGACTTTTAACCGCTGCTGAAGCTTTAAAATCACCACCATTGAGGCAATCGTCCAATGTATACAGGGATTGCCTCAGCGGATTAGACATAGCCACCTTACCAGAGTCAAGTAGTGTAATTTTCCGAACACCCCAAGCCTGCAGTTGCACAATAATTTTCATAAACCAGGCAATAGAACAAGAGATTGATGTTTGTTAGTCTGTGTTCTAGATTGGTTTAGTCCATAAGGGTATTTTGGTCATTGTGTATTGCAATGCTAGTAATATAAATGCAAGTTACAGTGTACAGTTTCATGATTGAAACTCTACTCCTTTTTCATCACTCCGTTCTCTCATTCTTTTCTTTCCAACTTTAATACATATTGACAATTAACTCTACTCCTTTTTCATCGCTCTGTTCTCTCATTCTTTTCTTCCTAGCTTTAATACATATTGACAATTCTACTTGGTATCATGAAACTGTACACTGTAACTTGCATTAATATTACTAGCATTGCAACACATAAACCAATCTAAAACACACTAACAATGTTTAAGTTCTTATTCACTCACCATAAGCATGCGGGCAACCTGGCATCCAAGTGTACCTGCCCCTAAGAGAAGGCACTTAGTTGCAGATAAGATGTTTATGTTCAAAGACGGCAAAGCACGCCATCTCATTAGTTTTAAATTTAAATCAGCAGCCGATATTGCTAACCTGTAAACATTTTAATCTTTAAATGTTAAGGATGCAAAAGAATAATACTGTTATGGACTATGGATAGACAAGACAACCTCAAAAAATACCTAGTTGGATCAATGGATTTAGAAAGGCTAATACACCTGGGTACCTTCTTCCCTCTATTAAGTTCCCATCCCACGGCATTAGGAATATGTTGATCATCTTTCCATCCTAAAGAAATATTGTTCATGTGTTCAGGAAAGCCAATTCAGAAAACACATTCAACTAAAAAAGGAGAGAGTTTTAATTAGAAGAGAGTTGTTACCCAATTTCCATCGCTCTACCTTGTGAAACTGTTATCAAGGCTTCACCAATGAGGGACAAGCTCAGATCAGCAAAACCACGATTCTCACGATAGCAAAAAAAGTGAATCTTTTCGAGATTCCATCTTGAACAAATAAGAGCAAGAAAGTTGCGAAGAGGCCAACCGGGATTACTTGGAAGATGACACGGGTCATAAAAGCCAAATAAGAACTGCCAGTAACATACAATGTAGCTTTATGGAAGAGTCATCTAAAACTTTGACATAACTTTAACAGGATTCAATTCACCAAGTGTTTTAAACAAACTGTCTTGTTCATTTTAATTGGCAAAAGCTAGTATAAGTTTACAAAAAATGTGAAGTATGTGGACAAACCTTATGGCCATCGTGTTGGGATGATTCCCAGTACTTCAGATGCTTAATAGTAGCATGTGAGTTTGAAGCAATAGAGACCAGGAAAAAAGGCACATCTGCAACAGAATCGCATGCTTTAGGCACTCCATCAAAAAATAAAATAAAATAAAAAAGCAGCATAAATAAGATTTGAGTAAAAATACAGTGGGCATTCTACCTGCCGTTGCACTTGAGTTACGCCACTCATTACAAGCTGCAGACAGCGATTCAGCCTGTATGCCACAACAATAACCTTTGTGTAAAAAAAAATAAGGAAAATTAAATACCATACTCACAAAATTACTAACATTCACAGCACCTCTTCCAGGCTTAACCACTGGGAAGCCGGTCTCAAATCAACCAAGGTTGCAGGAGGATCAAGCACCAGAGCAGGGAAAGCAAACCAATAATGAAAACTCCACTTTTTAAGGTCAGCAAATGATATAAGAAGGAACCTTGAAAGTACTGCACTGTCCTCCTCAGCTTTTCCAGAATGGATGTCCTCCCAAATCTGATATTCAATGAAAAACAAACTTGTGATATGAGACTTTTGTCTATTTGCTATATAGCAAGCCCCACCCACCCCTTTGCTACTTGAGCCGAGGCCCAGTGCCATTTGCAATCTGCTAAAAGGCTGTGGAACTGATAAGACTCTTCAATCAATTTGACAAACTCCACACAATAATACTTGCAAAAACAAAACACATGTATGAAAGAGTAAAATCTATTCGTATAAGAAAGATACCTTATTTGCCTCAGCCTTTAGCAAGCTCTGTTTGTCAAGTGCATGGAAACCCTCCAACGTATTTGTGTTGAAAAGAATACCAGGGACAGAACATCTATTCCTATTGCCACGGCTTGTTGTAGTTACTAATGATTGCTCACTTGGTTCAGGTGGAAAGGATTCAGCAAGAAGAGTTAAATGATTTGATACTTGAGAATGTGAGCAAGGTGCATAGAAACCTGCCACATGATTATTTCACCCTTCAGGTACATTAAATTACCCATTAAAAACAATTAATTTGTATTTCTTTTCTTGTCAATTAAATTGCACAAAAAAAATTAAGCTTGCTATTACAGAAATCTAAGTAAAATAACCAAAATCACTGCGGCAATAGAGGTCAGCTATATGGACCATATTTTCCATGAAGGTCGAAGATTAATTCACGACTAGCTCCCAGCCTGATATCCACCCACTAATACAAGATCCTGAGAGGCCTGATCGAAAGGTCACTATCAGTCAGCAATAACTATTTTGTCATTTATGCATTGTAAACTCATAAAACAAGATTTAATTTCATTTAAGAGCATCATGTCTGAAGACTTTGTTTCACAGTTGCATTTTCCTTGCTCCAGAGTTTCCTGATCCCAAGATCTTGTTTCAAAAATATAAAATGAGGGTTAGGGAAAAAAAAAAGTGCACCCTAGTAATTGCAATCTTAGTTGAAAGAAAACCATAGACTATTTTAATTACTTACCTAGCTATTTTAATTTCTACCAAGAAAAGAAGAAATTAAAGAAATTCATAGTTGAAATGTCAAAGGCTTTTCAATTCAACAATTTCTCATGAAATGTCATTCGTAAGTGCCCCCCTTTATACCGATCGAGCATTCCTCCCCTCCTCTATGGATGGTTCTAGCCCTCCTTCCTTTATTAGGCATGAGCTAGTGATGGCGCAGTCATAGATTGGTTGGAAGCGCAATATCGGATTTGGAAACCCGAAGTGAAGCCCATTGGTCCAAAGACTTTTTGGTCCCAAAATGTAATTGGTAGGATGCGTGTCCCTGGCCTGATGCCGGTGTGAAGCGAAGTCTCACATCGCCCAAATACTAAATAATAATATCGAATACATATATGCTTAACAGGTAGTTATTATTATTGTTTAGTTAGATATAATTACGTAAAATTTAGTGTGTGATTTCATTTTGTTTCCCAAATCATATTAGGAAAATTTCCTAATTAGATCAGGGTTTTGGTTCTATATATATTAGGGCTTTGACATTGTAATAGTCAATTTTTGGAATATTATTATTGAGAGTAAAAGGCTGTGGCCTTCTTGAGTGTTTCTTCCCCTCTGCTCTCCTATTCTGTTCACTAGCTAGCACCCCTTATTTCGTCCAGCTACAAACTAGTGCTCGAAAATGAACAAACTTGTGAATTGTTGAGTTAAGCATTCTCAAGGTCTTTGATCTAATGAAAACCTTCTTTCAAAACCAAGTCGTAGTGACGAAAGAAAGGCAAATGTGCAGATCAGATCAGCCTGCCACTTATTTATCTCGTAGTTCCACTTTCAGATAATGGAGCAACACCAAAAGAAGTGAGCATTTAGGGCTAGGGCTTTCCTCTATTAGTTCTTTTAATTTTTTTGATTTGAGAATTTTTCAATAATATGGATTGATATCATACATGTGGTTGCAGTGATTGATCTCATAATCTAACCAAAATTGAAGAATCCAAAAAATTAAAATGAAATGAAAAAAAATAAAGCATACCAGTAATAGGAATAGGGGATTCATCAATTCCTAACTTGTTGAGCTTTAGCGAAGATAATCTATGCCAGAAACCCTCATCTACAAAACTCTGGAACGGTGCAAATTGTAGAACAGATCCATGTTCATTTCCTGACATACTTGCTGTTGTAGTTTACCGCTTTTCACGTCCCAAGGAGATTTTCAATCAAGTTGCTTCTGTTGCGACTACTTGGTTAACAACCAAATTGTTAAAACTAAAATCAACACACCATCTGAGACAAACGTTGAATATCCCTATCTAGCAACAACTGAAGCAAATTGCATAGATGTAATAGAAATACAACAAGCTTTGACAAGGCAAAAGACAATTTATTTATCAATAACTAACATCTTTTTATATCACATTTTATTTACCACATCATGTGGCATGCTCACATTTTTTAAATACAACGGGTCTCACATGAATGTCATTAAACCAAATCAAACCAAGCTTTAAGTCCCATCAAATGAGGTCGATTATATGAATCCTTCTTTTCCACTCAACTCTATCAAAGGCCATTTGGTTAATCAAATTAATGAGATTCACATGAATGTCATTGATATTTCAACAGTATGAGCATGCCACATAAACTCTATCAAAGGCCATTTGGTTAATCAAATTAATGAGATTCACATGAATGTCATTGATATTTCAACAGTATGAGCATGCCACATAACGTGATAAACAAAACATGGTAAAAAGAGATGGTCACTCAAGCATTATTGTTTATTTATCTTTTTAAAAAAATGCTACATTTTTTTTTTTTTTTGATAAATTAAAAAAAAAAATTGCTAGGTTGACCAGTTGTATTTACCATGTGATGAGGCATACTCCACACCCTATAGATATTAATGTTACATATGTGGGACCTATTATATCAATGATAATGGAGTGTGACACATCACAAGGTAAATGCAAAAGGTCAAACCAAATGGTAAGCATAGCATTGCTCTTTTTATCTTTCAAGTAATTTGTCCCAAATTGGTTAGCATCACAATCAATTTTACAATCAATTTTTGCAATATGCACTCCTCTAAATACGAGTCACAAAACAAACTCATCATGACAGAAAATTCCAGGAAAAATAACAATGCCAATATTTTGAAATTTTCAAGTTTCCAAAATCTATAATCACATACCAGTCACTCATCAGTACAACATTCAAGATCAAAAAGTATTAATAATTACAATCCAAATTCTCTATTCATAGTGGTCTTCACTATTGGGTAAGTGTTTTGTATTCTATGAGTCCATACAATTTTTATTTTTATTTTTTATTTATTTACTTATTTTTACATGTATTTGGGTTGGGGTGTGGAGTGGGGGTGGATATGAGCCCAAAGGCCCACCCAACCTGCCCATTACTTCCAGGGTTTTGGGATTACATTTTAGGCCCATAAGGCATAGCAATTTTTTTAGGCTCGTTTATAATCATGGGCAGTCTTGGGAAGAATGTATGAAATCTAGCCCAGCCTGCAACTTATATACAAAATATATTTATACTTATTCATATTTTATATTATTTAATTTTGTTTGTTTGTCTATTGAATTTTGATCTAGTTGGATGAATATGTGATTGGGTTGTCTATAGCAAGTTCGGGGCTTCATCTTTCACTGGATTATGAATCAATGAGCATTGCCTTGCCTTTAAAGTCCACTTAACCAATATGCTATTAGGGACCATTGTTGCAGTACTAAGATGTGAAACAGTTGTTATTTGGCAATACTCTTTAAACTCTTCTTCTTTTCTTAATATTTACATATTTACATATATACTTACATAAATAATTTTCATGGTATGCATATCTATATACGAATATATTTGTAACTACAAAACTTTGTTGTTAGAAATGAGAAATAATATATAAATTAATTAGTACGAAAATTTGAGCTCTTAACTTTGAGTATATAAGAAAACACTAAAATCAAAAAATAATCAACATTATTTTATATTTTTGTGATACAATACAAATATATTTATCTATACTATTATATTAAGTGAAACTTTGATTTAGTCTCTGAAGCTCCAGCCATGTGGAATTTAGGTGATTTAAAAATACAAAAAAATACAAAAAAAAAAAAAACTCCCACGTTTCCTCATTTTCCTAACCAACTACTTAATACTCAACTTGAAGAAGAATTTAAAGGGGGGGAAAAAAAAGCCCACGTTTCCTCCCCATGTTTCTACACGTTTCCGCCCACCCAAGCAATAATCAACCAACCATCTCTCAATCTCTCCATTAGTTTCATCATTTTTTTTTAAAACTTTTTTGGTTTCTTCCTCTCTACTTTTTGGTTTCTTCTCTCTTTTTTTAATGATATTCCCTTTCAAAGAAAGTACAAAACAAAATTGTTACATACAATTATGGCAAAGGAAATACAAACAAGATTATTATTCCTCTTTGAAGGTAAATGATCTAAAACTCATTAATTTTTATGACTATTAGAGGTTTGAGAAATTCTATGACTATGTCATTCTACTTCCATGTAAACATAGAGAGAACACTGTTGTAATCAGCAGCTGTGGCTGTGATTGATTGTTGTAGCTACAATGCATTGGAGGGAAATATATCACACTAAATTAGTTCAACAATGAGTTGCAAGTGGACGACAGCAGTATGAATCACCAGCCATAGGTCTAATATACTTTTAAGTTATTCCAATTTCAAAGGGTTCGACTCTTCTACATTGAATCATTGCATTTTATTGAGAAAGTAACACATCCAAATGGGTGCCCAGGGAAAAAGTTTTAAAATAAAAAATAAAAAATAAAAACCATTCCCCACTAGTGGGCTTATTTCCAGATGTTGCATGGCAGTCCCAAAATGTAAAATAAAGATTCCAGGTAACAAAGAGTGAGGCCACAACAGTATCATTTATAAAGTACCCATTATAATTTCTCCTCGATGTGTCATAGTCCAACCCCTAATAGCCAAATGAAATATTGAATGATAAATATATCTTAATTTACATAATAAACAAACTCTAGAATTCACATCTGCGACAATCATGAAGTTAAAAATAAGTTTGGTTAATTTACAAAAAGGATGGCACGAGGTGACAAGCAGTTGAATATGCTCTGTCTGGATTACTAAACCATATATTAAAGGAAAATTAACCAACTCAATTCTAAACTTTAAAAAATACTGAAAACAGAATGCAGACCAGATAATTTTAGCAAAGTTAGAGACAATCCTGCTGATCAAAAAAAAAGTTCGACACAATCCTAGCAGAATATTAATGCTTTAACCTTATAATTGAGACCAAGACCTTGGACTATAAGTGCAAGTACAAGGAAGATGAAAAATGATTCATGTACTCTTGTCAGACAAACACTACCATTGCGAATCTAGGGGAAAAAATAAAACCATTTTCTATCTAAAATTGATCATCAGAAATATAGAGGTACCCATGTTAGTAACAAACCAATAAATGATAAGATGAATAAGCATTCATAATATCTTACATAAGTAATCACAATTAGTAGGTAGTCAAATATGTTGACTTCAATAGTAAATAACACAGATCCACAGCAAAACAAAGTTAAAAAACATGAAGTCATTCAGATCAGTTACAAGGAAGTAGAAAATAACTTCTTTGACCAGAACAAGAGAAAAAGATAAAACATTTATACATAATTCAGTTGTACGAAACAACATATATATATATATATATATTTTGAGGAGTAGTTAGATGCATACTTAGGCCCAATGTAGCCCATTGTTGTTCCCAATCCTCCATTAAGCTTTAACACAACAAGTTTGTCCAAAAGCTTCCTAGTTTCATCAGGATCCGCAACAATTCAAATGCTTCCTAGTTTCTATCATCCTAGTTTCATCAGGATCTGTTTCTATAGCTTCATGGCTATGCAAGTGACACCCAAAACTTTGGCTGACGTGAAAGGTGGTACTCTGTAAAAGCGGTTGTTATAAATTGTTATAATTAGGTTAAATTTCTGGAAATGATTTTCTGTAAAAATAAAAAATAAAATAATAATAATAATAATGATAAATAAGTAAAATGCAAAGAGCAACACTTTTTTTTTTGATCCCTAGGATGATAGAAAAACTGCTTTAAGCCCATCTATATAGTAAACAAAGCAAACAAGCAAAGGATTCATTTATTATGTTTAAATTATCATTTTTACAACCAATTCAATTATGGAATTCTACATACTTGTTATCATCTTCAGATTTGTGTGCTTATAAAATTTTCAATGAAGAACAATTTGCACACAGGGACTCTTAACAGTTCTGTTTTTAGGTAAGCACGAACTTCTCACCTTCTAGACATGAAAATTCACAGCAACTATGTAAAAGGAATTGTAAGAATCTAGAATTTGTACCAAGTGATAATGATTCATGTCAATGTCAATGCTAACAGAACAATCAACTAGAAAATCCAGTTAGCATGATCAGCGAACTAATTTAATATTACATATAAATCAAGCAAATTCAAGACTAGGACCTTTTATCTTCCAAATTCAAATTTACCAGTTCTTGCCTCAACAAATTCAAACTTGCTGATAATCAATGAAATCTCGATTCCAAGTTAAAAACAATAGTGTACTGCTCACTATAATGTATTGAAGAAGAAATTCAGAGATATACACTAATAGATATGGAAAAATGCAAGAAAATAGGGCAAGAATGAAACGAGTCGAACCAGTACATATCTGTACGCGAATGAGAAAGGAATGAGTCGAACCAGAGCTTCCTCGTATGATATGTGTGTGTGGCTAAAGAGAGAGAGATTAGAAGCGAGATTGAGAGATTCATACCGCTGGAGATCTTCAGACGACGATGGCGAGCAGGCGAACTGACGAGCGAGAAAGCAGAGCTATACAGGTCTGTCGAACGCGTGCGAGAGAGAGAGAACGATCCGCCATAGATCTTCAGAGCTATTTGTCAATTCTCTCTCTAGAATCATCTAGAACACAAGCTATCAGCTATATATACACAAATATAAGTATGTATAGGAGAGAGAAAGAGACCTCGCAGAGGTTGAGGAGGGCAGGGGCGAAGGCGAGGTTGCCGAAGGAGAGAGAAGCGTCAATGGCCACCCGAGAAGCGAGAGCTTCGGCGATTCATTTAACACCGAGAGAGAGAACCATATCAGTGCTTGTGAAAAAGGGCTAGGGCAAATATAAGGAAAGTAAATAAGAACAAAGAAAATAAAGCGTAAACTACTAATCGGTCTTGGATTTAATTTTGTTCAAGTGCTATTAAAAATACATTTGATAAAATTGTTACTAAAAATAATTATTTTGTGATAATTTTTTATATATGATGCTAAAAATTAATAATTAATGACTTTTTTTGTCATGATTTTTATAAATTGTCACTAAAATTTACAATTAGTGACATTTTTTTATAATAATTTTTTTTTCATAGGACCTATTAGACAATAAATTCACTTATTAAGACGTACACGTAAGTACCCCCAAGAATAAGGCGGTATTTGGCAAGTTGGTTTTTGGGTTTTTTTTTTTTTTTTTACTACAAGATAAATGTCTTATAAAACTAAAAAAAATTAATCCAAACAAAATATCATATCAAACCTCATAATCATTTTACTTTTTCTCTCACAAACATCACATCTAACCATAAAAAAAATTTAACTATCTTTTCAAATACAAAAAAAAAATTTCTTCAATAATATCCTATAACTAAAAAAATTATAAAAAAAGTCACTTTCCAAATACTCACCCTATTCATGTGATCGCAAATGCTAGTAGGAAAAGGTTATTTTTCTACTAGTGCTTCATGAGTGCTAACTCCAAATTTATAGTATATGTTATAAGCAAATGACATGAAATTTAAGCTAAATAGATAATTAAATATCTTAAAGACTACGGCTCTGTTTGGAACTATTTTCAAATTGAGTCTGGATCCTCTGCAGTGTTTTCCTGCAGTGGATCTTGTAGTGCTGATTAAACTATGTCGTTTTGTTCCTTTTTTTTCTTTTTTCCTTCCTCTGTTTTCTTTTCCTACATTTTGAACTGAGTCCCAAAACCAGAAAAGAAAAAGAGAGGAGGAACGGAGGAATCAAAACGCAAGGAAGATGGATGGACAAATCTGTAGGCTCGACGAATGGACGGCCGGCGACCGGAAACTGGGAAGATGACCAGCGAGAAAGACCCAAAATGTTCATCAGATGCAGAATTAACTTTTAACCATTATCCCAGCCACAAGCAAGGAGACTCCACCAAGAGAGAGAGAGGCGTTTATACAGAAAAAAAAGTAGAGAGAGTCAATTACAGAAAAGTGGAGATAAACCCATAAAAGAGGGGGGAGAGAGAGAAAGAGAGGGAGTCAATTACCTGGGTAATGGCTTCTCAGCCATTTCCTATTTGCAGGCAACCATAGATAGAAGTTTATGGTTTTGGGAGACAGGGTACAAGCACAAGGGTTTTTTTTTTGGTCATTTCATTGACAATTTAGAGGCGAATTTGAAATTATCAAGTGGGTTTGCTTGTATGTTGTTTCTAGTTGTTTGGAAGATAGTCAAATAAATGTTGAAACTACCCAGACAGATCAGGACTATTGAAGGCCAGTTAATTCTGCATCTGATGAACATTGGTCGTGCGCCTAATGTGTAGAATGTTTTGAGGTTTATTGAACAAAATGCATGATGAATCTAATTATGCAGAAATAGAAATAAAAGTTGTTTCTTAACAGTTTTAAGCTTTAACAGTCGCTGGTCCTCTGTTTGCTGAGCCTACAGATTTGTCCATCTTCCCGTCGTTTTGGGTCCTTCGTTCCTCGTCTTCTCCTGTTCGTTTATGGTTTTTGGGCTCAGTTAAAAAACGTTGAAGGAAGAGAAAACAGAAGAAGAAGAAGGAGGAAAGAAAAAAAATAAAAAAGCAAAACGACGTGGTTTAAGTAGCACTACAGGACCCACTGCAGGAAAAACATTGCAGAGAATCCGGACTCTTTCAAATTAGTTTTCTACGTGATGGTTTAAGTATGATGTTTGGATGGAGTTGTGGAATTAATTTTCCAACTCTGCAGAAAGCTCTGTGTATTTTGTCAAACTGAGCGCGAGTTTCAATTTTTTTTTTTTGAAATTTGGCCTAACCGATCGTCCGGCCGGTTGACCGGAACAGTATTTTTTTTTTTTTGCAATTGATATATTAATTTTTATTTAATCGAAAAAAAATATTTTCTAAAATTTTTAAAATTTTTTATGTGCTTTAAAATAATTTTGAGTTGTATGTTTAGTTATGAGTTGTAAATTTTTGTATAAAATATCAAATGTCACATCAACAATTCTCCATTCAAATCAAAACTCTTTTTAAAACTATTTTCAAAACTTTTTACCAAATAAATTTTCTATACTCAAATCATAATTCCAAACCCCACAAACTCAAAATACAACTCATACTCTCAAATCATAATTACAAAACTTTACTAAACGCAACCTATAACTTTTTAGGACGATACCTGGTTATAATAAAAGTAAGTCCAAGCTCAATACAATTTAAGGCTTAAGCTTGTATAAAAATAAATGCACAAATAAACAAAAAGAAACCTTCAGCTCTAAATCTTCCCAAGGCATGTTTTTGGCAAAGGTATATCATCAGCACCTAAAAATGATTTTCTTACATAAGGTGAACCAAAACCAAGTAGAAACATTTTAACACAATATATGAATCTTAATAAAATTATAAGGTGAATACATATGTAATGCTCGTGTTAAAACATTTTATATCTCTTTCCAAAATCATGCAATGCAAGTTTATATCATAAATCAATAATCATTTCCTTTACATTAGAAAATAGAGTAATGAACACAACTCTAGGAATCCCTAGGTACAATATCTGCAAGTAGGCTATACAAGCACTACCAAATTGTCATTTTTACCGATATTAACCAGAAGGCTCAATACCTAATCACGCGGGTTTCTAGACTTTCACTAAGAACGCACAGGCCAACATAATATCTCAACCACACCCCTACTCAAATTCACCAAGGTATTCACCATGTTTCTCAAAATAATAAACATTTTCAATGTGTTAAATATGCAACAATACTCAATGCAATGTATGAGAAATTAGTTTCGATTCTCCTAATTCTCATGCAATTTCTACAACAATCATAGCTATTCTCCACCGATAGTCCAAAATAGATATCTCTAAATAGATAAATAATTTTCAATAAAAATAAACTTTCCAACATTTCAAGATAGGAGTGATGATACATATCCAACTCCATATCTTTACCAACATCATCATCATTATCCCAATTTCAAAAAAATTCCAACATTTATTTCCATTTCTCTTTACAAAATCAACAATTAAGATTTTAGGGCAGACCCCATTTTCTTAATAAGCCAATCCCAAGGATTCAAAATCCATCATTTTAATCACCATTCAACCATATTACAATCCCACAATCATTTTCAATAAACCATTTGAAAATCCCTCTTTTGCTTTTTAAATTAAAATCTTAGATTTGTCCAAAAATCTCCAAATCACAATGTTGCTTTAGAAAAGCAAATAATCAAGTTAAAAATCATAAGAAAGTGTAGAGAAGTCCCTACCTCAAGCTTGAAGACAAGGAAGAACAAGGGTTGAAACTCAATGACACCAAAAACCAACTTTGCTCCGATCAAAAGGAAGCTCTCGATGTGCTCTACCTTTTTAACAAAGGAATTAGGGTTAAGAAATCAATGAATTTAGGTGTATTTGAGGTTAGAAGGTGAGTTCTAAAGAGAGAGAGGTTCTCAACTTAAGGTTTTGAAATGTTAGAGAGAAAGAGAGATGAAAAAGTGATCCAAAAAGTGACTTTTACGAACTGATATACACGCAGACCGCTTGAGCGCAAGAAATACCTGTCGAGCGACCAAACATAATAAGTGAGACCGCTCGAGCGAAGAATACCATGCTCCTAGAAGTTTTGCAGACAGAAGACCACCGCTTGAGCTAAAAAAGGATTGCTCGAGCCAACACTGCTCGAGCCAAGGAAACATTGCTCGAGTGAAAAATGCTACCCTCTTAGTACTTTTGCAGACCTGCAAAGTACTGAGAGTTCTCAAAGACTGCTCGAGCGACAAAAGCACTGCTCACTTCCTTGAAAAACAGACTCCCAACCTGTTCCAAACGCAGCCAAGGCACTCTAATAACCAAACTCAATGAGGAATAAGATGAACAAAGGTATAAACAACCATACAAAACAAGGAAATCCGGAACCAAGACATCAAATAGGTCGAGTCTAAACTAGAATCGCTATAGGATCCATCACATGTGTTGGATTGGACCGAGTTGGAGGTAGATGAGGATGCCTCGTATGAAGAGAGACCAGTTAAAGTCTTACATACTTGAGAACAAGTCTTACAAGTCAAGACAATTCCATTGGTAAAGGTGTAATGGAGACATCACGGGGTTGAGAAAGCAACTCGGGAACGTGAGGCGGAAGTCGATGAGAAGTATCCAGATCTATTTGTTAATGTTTGAACTTGTATTGAAAATCTTATTGTGTTGATTTAATATAAACATTGTGGATGTTTTGGAAATGTGAATTGTATATTCAGTATTGAGAACTTATTTATCATTGTTACGAGGATGGATGGTCAGTGGATGGATCACGGTTATGGTTGAATTAATTATAGTTGTTATTGTTTTGATTTTAAAATTTCGGGGATGAAATTTCTTAAGTGGGGAGGTTATAACGATTCTGGCTTCGACCTGACCAGTTTAATGTTTTGGATCCGGGTTTTCTTATCTTGAATGGGTGTTGTTGTCCTTATTCATCTTATACCTCATTGAGTTTGGTTATTGGAGTGCCTTGATCGCCTTTGGAACAAGTTGGGAGTCCGTTTTTCAAAGAAGTCATTGCCCAGATTGTGACACCCTAAAAATTGGGAACATCAGATAATATATTAACAATTAAATACAGGGTTTATCTAAGGTTACAAGAGTAAGAAACGCCACTTATGAGTCCTTTGGCTAATAACCAAGCAAGATCCTAGGAAGGTCAGAAGAGTCAAAATAGCCTTCCTTTTAAGTCCAACCACCTTAGATAATAAAGCTACCTTTTTGACAGATCTTGACAAAGTATTAACAAAAGGCCTGTATGAGTTGACGGAGTATAAGGATGGGTTACAAATGTTATATATAAAAATTACAAAATCATGTC